CTTAATTAAAACGTAAACTACTTTGATTAAGACACAAACGATTATAAACATAAATCCTATATTTTTCGACATGTCATTGGTTCATCCAGCACTTCGTTCGAACCTTAGGTGTATCATTCTCTCCTTCCGCGTATTGTCCGATCTATTGGCATGTTAATCTTCCGTAACATTTGATCTTCTTAACACAATATTCGACCCTTCTGGTTCGATGCTCGAACTCATGACACGAAGTTCATCTTCCTGCATGTTGATCAATCATTCGGCCCGATGTTTAATCTCTAACATGATGCTCTCCAGCCCAACGTTTGATTCTTCTACTTCAATCGATTTATCTTTCCATGATCGAAGTTAGTCATGCATCATTCCAACACTTATTAGATCATAATTTTATTAATTGATTTTATCATCAAAATTTAAAATTCAATAATAATAACTATTGATAAGGTTATATGGACGGTTTCCAATGAGGGAGGCTTTATAGGAAATTTATCGTAGGACCTAGTTCTAGGTAGAGATTTGATCTCTCTTAGATTCTGCTAAGTTTGTTTTAAAGTTTGGGGTTCGATTTCCATTCTCCAACTCCAATGGTATGTCTAAACAAGCTGACCTAGGAGGTGGGATGATTGAGTAGAGGCAAAGTCAAGTTAGGTGAAGAAGCTGCTCGAGGCTCGACAACAAGAAATGTTTAAGAAGGTCTCCTTTGAGATTATTATTGAGGGAGGGAGGGTTGAGGGACGAGAGGAAGAAAAAAAAAGGAGGCAGATGCTTCTCCTCCCTCATATTAAGGGGTTCTTGACCAACTCATTACTCTCTCCACTATAATTAAGAAATAAATCAAAATGATATGCAAATTATATAGACAAATCTTGATATTTTCTCTCCCATTTATTATGTGGATGTTCTCATCGAAGTATTCTTGGAATGTTGCACTTCTTTATATATTGAATATTTACACTTCTTTAAATAATGCATCTTTGATATTGATATCTTAATATTAATATAAAGTAGTTAAACTTTGATCCTTTAATATTGTATTATCTAGTAAAATTGATGTCAACCATTGTATGATTATGAGCTTTGCATTGTCTACTGCCACAGCCCAGTATTATTCATCCACACGTTTGACCACAGAACAGATACAACTATACTTATATACAACTTAAGAGTTGGAAAGGAATAATCGATTTTCAAGATAAAGAAATAATTGGAATGTCCACAAACAACCAATCTGTCTTATAAAAGTCTCTGAACTCACTCAACCGAAAAAAATCATTAGAATATATTAACATTTCACAAACTTCTTCTTGCTTAGTTTTCATGGTTTTGTTGTAAAAGATAAGCATTAAGGTCCTTCTTGCTTGCATTCCCCAAGTTATCTTTTATGATCCTATCAATAAGCGGCGTTTGCACTATTTACATGTGATAAGGGGATCAGATATGTAGACAATAAGATATCACGTTATTGTTAGTATTCTTATATAGACAGGCCATTAGTCCAACAACCAATCATGTGGTTGATGCGACATTATTGACTATTACACTTGATGATTCAAGCGACTACTAACATTCAAGTAATGCATTATCATGTAACTATATTTGTAGAGTAACTTTTCGCTTAATCTCAATAGTTACTTGAGCCGTCCAATAAAAAAATCCCAATTATGCTAAAATTTATATATATATATACACACATATATATATATATACACATATATATATATATATATATATATACACACACATATATATATATATATATATATACACATATATATATATATACACATATATATATATACACACACACATATATATATATATATATATACACATACACATATATATATATACACATATATATATATACACACATATATATATATACATATATACATATATATATATACATATATACATACATATATACATATATATACATATATACATACATATATACATATATACATACATATATACATATATATATATATACATACATATATACATATATATATATATATATATATGTATATATATATATATATATATAAAATCATTCAAACCCTATATCACTTTTCCAATCATATTGACATATGTATCATACGAGCCTTTTTATCGAACACGATCTCAACCTAACTTTGTAGCATTCTTCGTCAAATTTATTTATTTTTTGATTTTTAACTTACGACAAACTCAAACTTAAACTAAAATTGACTATATGATTTGACATATTGAACAATTAAAATCTAAATCAATAACATCCATATTATATTTGCACATAAAAATAAGATGAAAATTATTTTTTTATTAAAATTTAATTAAGACATAATTGAGTAGTTCCTTATATCTATATTATGGTCCTAGTTTGAAATTATTTAGATTAATTTTATCTAATATATTTAATTAAAATTGAACCTATCATATGAGACTAATCAAAATTTGAGGAACCATATCCCTAGTTTGCATTATTCGACGACTTCCATAATTATGGAGTTGTCTTCTTATAATCAAATTTCATAAATGTCAAGGAAGATGGAAATCAAGATCCATGAAATATCCATATTGCTCGATATACGCATAGGTGTCGTGTTGTTTGGTGTAGTGCTTTCAAATTCGTGAAAACACATCCCACACGTCGCCCTATTTGGGTTCCTTACGAGGTCAACTAATATAAGAGATCAACTAAACACATCCCACAGTTGGCTCGGAACTTTTTCCGGTCTCCAGATGTAGCCCTATAAATTACTGAAGGCATCTCCATCTTTGTCTCTCTCCGATCTGAACTTAATAATATATATTTTTTATTTTCAGATAATTTAGTATAATTAATCATCAAATTTTAAAATTGTTTATATATGTTTCATAGTTCATTTAGGAGTATGATATGATCAAGTTCATCCAAACTACCTCAAACTTTAACCAATATATTAGGACGCCATTGTAACATTATTAGTAACATCTTTTCTATTTTTAGAGGAATTTAGGATAAATAAATATTAAAACTTAAAGTTTTTGGTAGGTTCTAAGAATGAATATATTTTATGTTTTTAGAGTGTAACAGGGACAATATTAATCAAACCCTTTTAAAGCTTCACTACTTAAACATAATTCTAAAATCATTAGTAATACTTTTTCTATTTTTATAAAATTTTATGATAATTAATTTTTAAAATTTAAATTTTTATATAAGTTCTATGAATTAATGTATTTTACTTTTATTTTTTTACTGTAACAAAGCTAACATTAACCAAACCATCTTAAAATTTTACCAATCTAATATAACATCATTAGTCATGCCTTTTATTTTTAGGTATTTTAAGATAATCAATTGTCAACATTTATTTATTTTTAATAGGTTTTGTGAACAAGTATATGTTACTTATTTTCAAGTATAAAAGAGTTAACTTCAACCAAAACTAACTCAAACTTTCTTATTCAGAATTTTACTACTTTTTCTATTTTAGAATAATTTTAGGATTATTTTATATAAAAACTAATATTTTTTAATAACTTTTATGATTAAATATAAATTAATTTAATTTTGAGTGTAAAGAAACCTTTTAGGTAAATTATTAGGAGGAGGTGCAGCAGATGAGAGATAAGTAGAAGTACACAAATAATGAGGGGGAGGAGAAGAATAAGGAGGAGGAGAGGAGGGGGAGGTAAGAGTGTCAAGAGGAGAAGGCAGAGGTGGAGAGAAAGGAGGAAAAGAAAGTCTAGAATGAACAAAAAAAAAAAGGAGAAAGCCGAGCAAGAGGAGAATATTTTAGAAATTTTTTATTTCTAAGGATAGTCTTTTGTTGGTCAATTTTGTAGGTCAAACTTTTATTCACGTTGAATGATTAGTCTTCATATGATAGTAGGATAGTTATTGAAAAGCTGATGATTGTTCTGAGGATAGTCAGGATCTTTTTCTAAGATGAAGATAGGATTTTCTTCCGAAGGCAAAAAAAAGTAAATTTTTAGGAAACATATTGGGTAAAGAAAGATGTTTCTCATGTACAATATGATTCAGGAAGATTAATTAGATAAAGAATATTCATTTAACAAAATTTACCAATTAGATATGTATAAATTAGACAATGCATATGGTATTCATCTTATCAAGATTGCATATAGTGGAATTAAGTTACAAAACCAAAATTATGGTTGTCCTTAGTTGAAATTTTGCAACACTTCATTGGCTGAACCGGTTCAGCATCAACCCCTCTTTTCCATTAGGATTGATGAAGAGTTTGACATACCAACGAGGATGCTAATGAAAATTTGCTGTGTATGTCTTCGTTAGACATATATCATCAAAGATCCGACCAACTATAAAATCACGTTCTCTTGCTAATCTTGGAGTACAAGTCACGGGTAGAAATGATGATTCTTTAAAGCTGAAATTTGTAGGTTCTAATTTGAGATCAGAATCTATTATCTAATAACGATGAAAGGGTTCAGTTTTTAGGTAGTGATAAAGCAACTTATTCTAAGGTGACTGTGAACAGGCAAACACGGTTGTATCGTATGCTCATTATGTGTCACATGAATCTGATCTTGATGAACGGGGTTCAACCTGCCATACAAAATTAAGAGGTCATCTTTCTAACAACAGTTGTGGGTGTAATGAATTGTCAGATCCAGAGAAAGGTGACAAGCGTTTCATTTAAAAGTCTAATAGTGACAATCAGTTGGTTGATGGCAAGGGGTCGTCTAATGAAGCAGATTCTGAGGGAAAAGTGTTCTCATTTCGACTGCAGTGATGTATATTATGAGATGGATGATCAGGAAAAAGACGGTGAGTGCTGGTAACAAAGACGTAAAGGTTTCGGTCAATGCTAACGATCCCTGCAGCAGTACTAGCCATGCCAATGGGTTGGTACAACCTGCGAGCGACCCGTCCAATCGAATCAGACTTTTATTACCCGATTTAACACTGGCTAGTTGGTTCGATTGAACCAACTAGCCACGTTATTACCCGCAAAAGTCACCCAATCGAACCAACTAGCCACGTTATTACCCGCAAAAGTCACCCCCTGACGGCCCAGCCTTCGTCCGCAGCTTCCTTGCGCCGCCGCTGCTTCCGTGTGCAACTCCTTCCACCGTCGGAGAGGACCGCAGCTTCCTCCGCCACCGACGGACACCTCTGAAGCTTCCTCCGCCCACGACGCCGTCTGCGGCTTCCGCCGCTGCCGCCGTTCACAGTTTCCTCCGCCGCCGTTGCTGTCGTCCGAAAGTTCCAGTATCGGTAACTTTTTCTCCCCCTCGCTTCGCTCGGGTACAGGTCTTTTTTCCCCTGTTAACAGTTCTTTTCTCCCCGTCCGAAAGTTCCACTGTCAGTTTTCCTCCGGTAATGTAGGGGTTTGGCATCGTTTAATTACAGCTTTCCTGTGGTTTTATTGTTTCTCGATTATTCCCATACAAGCATACCCTTCCTTGGACGCACTGATACTTTGTTGGTAATTGGCTGTCGTGGTTTCTGGGATTTCCCGACTCGGGTTAGGTTTTCCTCTTAGGGTTCTAGGGATTCGATATCGCCTGGGTCCATGTGGTTTCGTGGTTTCTTGATCTTCCCTGTAAGCATACCTTCATCGATTGATTCTTGGTAATTTGCTATGGCATTATCTGGGCTTCTCTGATCTATGCTAGGGTTTCCTCATTGCATTGTAGGGATTTCATATCGTTTGATTCCACTTTTCCTTTGGTTTCATAGTTTCTCGATTCTTCCCCTGCAAGCAGACCCTTCTTTGAGCACTGATAGTTTGTTGGTAATAGGCTGTGGTAGTTTCTGGTATTCGCTGATCCGTGGTAGGTTTTTCTCTTAGGATGGCCGGAATTTGACATCGTTTGGGTTCGTGTGGCTCCATCTTTTCTTTATTCTTCTCTACAACCATTCCTTCTTTGTACGCATTGATTGATGCTTGGTTATTTGTTGTGGTATTTGTTGGGCTTCTTTGATCTTTGGTAGGTTTTCTGCTTAATTGCAAGGAATTGATACCATTTGGTTCCACTTTCTGTGGTCGGCATTTTAAGTGCTACGGTTTGTTCTTAGGAATGTAGTGATTTTGATATCATTGAGTTCCCGTATCCTATCGTTTCATCATTGCTTGATTCTTCCCTACTTTCTTTGGATGCACTGATTAATGCTTGGTAATTTGTTGTGGCACATAGCTCTTCTCCGATATATGCTGGCGTTTTCTCTTAGAATTCTTGGCATTTGATATAATTATGTGTAACTTAATATGAGGTTTCATCATTTCTTGAATCTTATGTACAAACATACCCCTCTGCAGATGCATTAACTTTTTTCCAGGTAATTTGTTGTGGGACTTCTTTTGGCCAAGGCAATGCATAATTCTGCTTCTGCTGGTCCTCCAGCAAAGCCAAGAGTGGGCTCGTCGCAGGTGTCAGAAGCTTCTCTGAAGCGCAAGCGTGGTGTATTCCAAAAAGATTGTAAGAACATCAATCCTTTTCTTTGTCTTCTGTTATATTTTTTTGTTTTTGTGTAATCAAATTTGGTAGTGGAAGCCGATTTATTCTTCTTCCTCACTCTGTTGTTTCTAGTGGCTGTTATCTTGATGTGGGTCTTCTTGATCAAAAAGTTCAATTTAGTATTGATCAGAATAAGAATATAGATCATCAATATGGTACCAATCTTAATTGGACAGAGATAGACCTATTGGGAGCTTTTGTTTTTCATAGCTGCAAATTTATATTGTTTTTGAGACTTTTAGTTGAGTGGCTATCTTTATAACAAGCTGGACTGGCCTGTGCTGGGAGGAAGTAGCACTGGTTGGAGGAGTGATGGGGGCTCTTTCCTGATTATTGCCACTTTGCTATTTTGGGAGCTCTGATTTTGGCTGTTGTTGCTTATTTGTATAATGGCCTTTTGTTGCTCTACATTATCATGTAGTGGAGAAATTTGATATTCATGCTTCTTTCTCTCTTAATCCTGAGAGTTTCGTACTTAAGCTTTTGCTCATAATATAATACCTACTTATTTACCAAAAAAAATTATACAAGACGGTAAGGACAAAATTAGAGAGGATTATATGACTTTGCTAAAGAGAAGTTTTCTCTCTATTTTGTTGTCAAAGAAAAATTACCTTTACTCCAACAGAAGGTTTGCTAAGGGTATCCACATGCAAGTATTCTCACTCTACACAAGTTTGAAGAATTTGAAAGGTATCTACATGCATGGGCTTAAAGATCAAGCTATTTTATATAAAAATTAAAAGTCAATAGAAATTATATGTTGGCATGAAGATAGTAAGAGTTCTCTTATATTCAAAAATTTGAATGTACACATGTTTTGCTTACTTATTTGTCATGGAACAATTCTTCTTCGCTGGCAATGCTTTGATATAAATTTCTTGTTGCAAAGAACTTATGCAAACATGTTTCCATCAAGAACTGCTAATTTTTGGGCTAATGATTTTATTATGCAGTGCAACATATGATGTATGGGTTTGGAGACGATCCCAATGTAAGAATTTCTATTCTTAATATGACTTTATTTTGCTTTTTACTTGTCTGCCAATGTCAATTCATCTTCCAATTTATACTTCATTGAAACATAAAAATTGACTTTTGCACACTGAGAAGAGCACCCAGAGAAACATGTTTACTTTTATTGTGAAAATCTTTCTTTGCTTTTGGAAATCAGTGCTTGGAATTGACATTGTTACTATTAAATTGAAGCTATCGCTTTAGATTTGCAGCAATGTTACCTAGACTTATACAGGTCCAACAAGACACATTGATACATCTCGTGTCAACACAAACGGGCATGGTTTAACACTTATTCTTGCCACCTGCAGTGATCATAGAAGGGGAGTGAGAGGAGAAATGAGAAAAAAGAAAAAGAAGCTAACCCTTTATTGCTCTTGCAAGATGCCACCACCTTCATGATCATTGGAGAGAGGAGAGGGATAGGTGGGGTGTGGAGATGAGTCATTGAATTCCATTTCCCTAAGTCACCAGATGATCTTGAAATTTTATTACTCATGGTAATCTTAATACCCTTTTATCTAAAGGAGATTCAACTAAACTGAATTAAAACATACAAGATTTATTTATTTGCATTCTATGGGGTTCAATTGCACATTGGGGTGATTGCATGTTATCAAAATTAGAGCAATTTGAGTAATAAACATGCTTAACTATATCATTACATCTTAAAATTATTAGCATTTCATTGATTCTAGAATATTTAAACGAATGAATGTTTCACACCTAAACATTAAATATAATGTTATGGATTAAAGTATTGCTTGCACATGCCAATAGTTACTAGCCTTACATTTGTTTTTGACACAGATAGATAATTATGTTTGAGCTGGTTCGGTATTGGTTGTACTGCACTATAAACTCAATGTGTTGGGCTCACCAAATTGTCACGGCCTTAGTTGGAATTGCCTAAGGCGTGAGGCACCCTTGCGGCCAAGACGCGAACTTAGCTTGCGTTGCCTAAGTCACGAGGCACCCTTGTGGCAAAGACGCGAACTTAGCTTGCGTTGCCTAAGTCACACTTCGCCCTTGCGATATTGCTCTGCAAAGATCAGCCCACTTGCAACCTCTCGCAGGTCCCGAATGACCTGTAAAGAAAGTTGATTAGTTCGAAAGAACGAGCGACGAACAAGTCCCGACGTCTCGCGAAAAGGGGAAGCTTTACAAGCAATTCAGCGAGCACCTTGTATGCACAAGAGAAAAGAGGGAGAGGGGGAAAATAAGGACTTTAGAGGGTTGAACGAACAACTACAAGTTCACAAACAGCTGCTCACCGGGTGCCGGGTGCGACAACAAGTTCCCGTCAAGGTAACGTGCGAACTTGCGAAAGGTTGTTCAACGCCCGACACTATACCGAAGCCCCATCCAGCCCTATGCCACCCGGGGGGTTCAAAGGGGCTGAGATGGCTGACGTTTTGGTGAGCGGAGGCGGGCTGCAGAAAACAACCGGCAGCACACGAAAACGGAGCTGTTTTGGGCTGTTTTGGGCAGTTTTGGGGCTGTTTTGCTCAGTTCGGTGAGCGGTCGCTTTGTAGCGCTGCAACTTGTTCGAACTTACATTTTTACAAGCAAAATGACTCAAAACCAAGGCAAAACAGGCTACCAAGTAGCTGTACATGTAGATGAGAGCGATGAACGGTTCGTTGAACGAAGTTGTTGCAGGTGCGCGACGACCGTTCGTGACATTCTCCCCCACTTAAACTGTCGACGCCCTCGTCGACGCTTGTTTGTAGTTGTTGATGATTGCTTCATGTCGTAGGGCGTCTTCAGGCTCCCAATTGGCTTCAGTTCGGGGAAGCTTTCGCCACTTCACCAAGTACTCTGTTTGCTCAGCTCCATTGGGTAGCTTTATCATGCGGTCCGCCAGAATGGTTTCAACTTGCTTCTCGTAGGAGGCTGTGATGGGAGGTAGCCGAGTTGGAACACTTCGGGAAGCATCTTGCGGATCCGAGTGGTAGGCTTTTAGGTTGCTGGCGTGAAGAACGTTGTGAATTTTGAACCACGCCGGCAACTGCAACTTGTAAGAGACGTTGCCTACCCTGCTGATAATTGGGAAGAGCCCTTCATAGTTGCGCACCAATCCTTTGGGGACTTTGTTTCTAAAGAATTGGAGTGATGCTGGTTAGAAGTTTACCAACACCAAATCGCCAACCTTGAACTCTTGCGGTCGCCTTCCCAAGTCTGCCCACTTCTTCATCCTTTTTGCCGCCTTCTCCAAGTAAGCTTGCGCAATATCTGCATTTCGGTACCACTCCTTTGCGAAGTGGTAGGCTGACGGATTACTCCCAGTATACCCAATTGCCATGGTGTGAGGAGTTGACGGTTGTTGTCCGGTAATGATCTCGAAGGGGCTCTTGTTGAATGTAGAGCTCCGCTGCAAGTTGTAGGAAAATTGGGCATTGTCCAATAGCTTCACCTAATCTCGTTGGTTGGCACTCACGTAGTGCCGGAGATATTGCTCCAGGAGCGAGTTTATCCTCTCAGTTTGGCCATCCATCTAGGGGTGGAGACTTGTGGAGAAGTATAACTTGGATCCCAATAGTTTGAATAACTCGGTCCAGAATCGTCCCAGGAACCGAGCATCCCGATCACTGATGGTATTGTGCGGGACTCCCCAATACTTCACCACATCCTTCATCATCAGCTTGGCTGCCTCCTCTACTGAACAGTGTAGGGGAGCAGCAATGAAAGTTGCATACTTTGAAAATCGATCGACTACCACGAGTATCGATCCGAGTCTCCCTACTAGTGGCAAGCTCGATATAAAGTCTAAGGAAATGCTCTCCCACGACCTTTCTGGTACGGGCAACGGCTCCAAAAGTCCTACCGGCTTCCGCTGCTCCGCCTTGTCTTGTTGGCAAGTGAGGCATGTTCGAACATATTCCTCCATATCAGTCCCCATCTTCGGCCAGTAGAAGGCCCTCTCCACGAGAGTCAACGTTCGATGAATACCTGGGTGTCCAGCCCAAAGGGAATCGTGACATTCTCTTAAGAGTTCACGCCTCAAATTGTTCACTCAAGGAACATAAACCCGATTCCCTTTTGTGTACACGAGTCCCTCCTGGACCCAAAATTGTTGTGCCTTGCCTTCTTTGATGAGCTGCATCAGGAGAACTGCCTGGGGATCACCATACAGTCCATCCCTGATCTTGGAAAGGAAGTTGGAGTGCAATTGACTTGCTTGGCCTCCGCCCTCTAATTGTACGATATTCACGTGCTCCACTTTCCGACTCAATGCATCGGCCACGACATTTGCCTTCCCAGGCTTATACTCCATTGCCATATCAAATTTAGCTAAGAAGTCCTGCCACCGTGCTTGTTTTGGAGAAAGTTTCTTCTGTGTTTGGAAATAGCTCAGAGCGATTTTGTCTGTCCTCAGCACAAATCGCGATCCGAGAAGGTAGTGTCGCCAAACTCGTAGACAGTGGATCACCGCTGTCATCTCCTTGTCGTGCACTAGATACCACCGCTCGGTCTCGTTGAGCTTGCGGCTCTAGTAGGCCACCGGATGACCTTCCTGCATGAGTACTCCCCCAATAGCGAAGTCCGAAGCATCTGTATGGACTTCAAAAGGCTCCCCATAGTCTGGCAATTTGAGCAATGGTTCTTCCATAACAGCAGCCTTCAGATCTTGGAATGCTATTTCACATTTGTCCGACCACTTCCAAGGCTGCTCCTTCTTCAGTAACTCCGTCAGTGGAGTTGCACGCTTCGAGTACCCCGTTATGAAGCGTCGATAGTAGTTGACGAAACCAAGGAAGGATCTCAACTCTGGCACCTTCTTTGGAGTTCGTCATTCCGCAACCGTTTGCACTTTTGATTTGTCCATGCGAATGGAACCATCACCGATTCGATGCCCCAAGAATAAGATCTTCGTTTGGGTGAAGTAGCATTTCTCCCTTTTTACGAACAAAGTGTTCTCCCTGAGAACCTTGAAAATTGTCCGAAGGTGCCGAACATGCTCCTCGAGCGTTTGGCTGTATACGACGATATCGTCTAAGTAGATGACTACGAACTTGTCCAAACACTCCTTGAATAGTTGGTTCATGAGAGTGCAGAACGTGGCCGGAGCGTTGGTTAAGTCGAAAGGCATCACCAAGAACTCAAATGCTCCATACCTGGTGACACAGGTTGTCTTCGCTTCGTTGCCTTCAGCAATGCGCACCTGCCAATACCCCGACCGAAGGTCGAGTTTCGAGAAATACTTGGCTTTGCCCAACTGGTCGAACAAGTCCGCGATGAGGGGGATGGGATACTTGTTCTTCACTGTCACTTTGTTAAGGGCTCGGTAATCGACGCATAGTCGGAGGCTCCTATCTTGTTTCTTCTGGAAGAGAACTGGAGCTCCGAAAGGTGCTTTAGAGCTGCGAATGAGACCACCGCTTAGCAGTTCACCTAACTGCTTTCTGAGTTCTGCCAACTCTGGCGGGGACATGCGGTAGGGTGGTCTCGCTGGAGGTTTCACTCCTGGCTCCAGCTCGATGCTGTGATCCACGCCTCTGCGTGGTGGAAGAGTCTTCGGTAACTCGGGTGGCATAACGTCATTGAACTCTTTCAGGATGTTTGCCACCACAGTAGGTTCTTGAATGGCCTTCTCGTCGAGTGGCTCTAGCTTCATAGCAGCCACGAATGTTAATTCACCTTTTCGCACCTCTTTCTTCAGTTGTAATGCCGATATGTGTTAGGGCTCCTTGGTTCCTCTCCGAGAGACAAGAACCACGCAAGGGTCGTCACCTCCCATCATACACAGGGAGTTCAAGAACGGCATTGGCACCAACTTCACCGCGTGCATGAACTCCATTCCAAGAATCACTTGGAAGTCGTCCAGTGGCACTGCCATCATGTTGGTGTTCCCGCTCCATGTCCCGATTTTGATGGGAACTCCCTTCGCCAACCCGGAGATTCGCTTGGCCTCCGAGTTCACCGCCTTCATTCGGCTTGGGCTCTTCTCCAAGATCAATCCAAGTCGCTTTGCTTCTCGATCGGCTATGAAGTTGTGGGTAGCGCCCGTGTTCACCATTGCACGGGTCGTTTGGCCATTTAGCTTGATGTCCACATACATCAGCTCACTATTTCATGCTTTTTGTAGCTTTGTCTTTATGTTCTGCCCCACTTGACCCCGCATGGTGTTCAACAAACGCATTGCTCCCATCCGGGGTCCTTGCGACTCCTCGTCGTCGCTGCTAGATTCAGAACTGCTCGAACTAAGAGCAACAGCTTTGCCCTTATCCGATTGGGGGGGGGGGTGGATGGAAGCCGTCAAATCATTGAGTGCCTGTTTTTGTGGGCATTCTCTCACCATATGCGGTCCTCCATACAAGAAGCATCCTCCAGGTTTTGAGGCCTTGCCTTTCGGGTTTGGCCCTTTGTGGGAACTCTTCTTCTTTTGTTCGTCCCCGAGCTCCTTCCCTCGAGAATGTTTTGGAGGGCGATTGGCTGAAGATTGTTTCCTTCTCCCTAGGTCTTCGGAGGAAACAAAGTCGGTGAGCCTTTCTGCAGCAGCAATTGCCCCGATCACATCGGTGACATTCCTTCGATTTAGTTCCTATTGAGCCCATGACTTCAAACCATCGAGGAAGCTGAACAACTTGTCCTTCTCGGACATGTCCTATATGTCCAGCATTAGTGCAGAAAATTGTTTCACATAGTCTCGAATGGTGGTACTCTAGCGGGGTTGTCTCAACTTCCTTCTTGCGATGAACTCTGTGTTCTCTGGTAGGAACTGAGTTCTCAACTCCCACTTCAAGTCCTCCCATGTGTCAACCTGACACCGACCTTGTTGGATCTCCTCCCAACGGGTTCGCCACCAAAGTTTTGCATCTCCGTTTAGATACATTGTTGCTATAGAAACTTTGGTATCTTCAGAATCGGGCCTCGTAGCTCGAAAGTATTGTTCCATGTCGAACAGAAAGTTCTCGAGCTCTTTGACATCTTTGGCCCTTCTATATCCATGAGGCTCAGGTGCCCTCAAATTTTGTGGTGGTGCAACGCGGGTGTTGCTTCCTCCCGCATTTAGTGCTCTTGTGAACATGGCCACCCTTGAAGTGAGTTCCGCCACAACTTCTTGCAGGTGTTGCACGGAGTCATTGGTGTCATCTGACAGATGGTCGACTAGGGCCTCGACCTTGTCGATCCTGGACTCCGCTTCCTCTTGCGAGCTCTCTACCCCAACAAGCCTTTGTTGGCCATGGTAGAGTTCCTCCACGCTCGCTTCAAGAACATCCAGGTGGGTTTCCGCTATTGTGAGTCTCTCCTTGTGACTCTTTTTCCCAGTTGGCGCTCCAGATTGCGCCTCCTCCGCTCGCGGAGAGTAGCCAACTTCTCGCTCATCATGTTCGCTGTCGTGCTCCTCTTGAGCGGCTCCAACAGCCTGAGAGCGAGTGTGCACATGCAACCCACCTACGGTTGCTTGGGGCAAGGGTTCGGCTTGCCCCATCTTGCTTGATTCGCCACGTTGCTTTGCCATGGCGAAGTTGCGAAGTTCCTTCGCAGCTCACTCGAAGTGCTTGCCTGCTCTGATACCACAATGTCACGGCCTTAGCTGGAATTGCCTAAGGCGTGAGGCACCCTTGCGGCCAAGACGCGAACTTAGCTTGCGTTGCCTTAAGTCGCGAGGTACCCTTGCGGCAAAGACGCGAACTTAGCTTGCGTTGCCTAAGTCGCGCTTCGCCCTTGCGATATTGCTCCGCAAAGATCAGCCCACTTGCAACCTCTCGCAGGTCCCGAAGGACCTGTAAAAGAGAAAGTTGATTAGTTCGAAAGAACGAGCGACGGACAAGTTCCGACGTCTCGCGAAAAGGGGAAGCTTTACAAGCAATTCAGCGAGCACCTTGCGTGCACAAGAGAAAAGAGGGAGAGGGGGAAAACAAGGATTTTAGAGGGTTGAACGAACAGTTGCAAGTCCACAAACAGCTGCTCATCGGGTGCCGGGCGTGACAACAAGTTCCCGTCAAGGTAACGTGCGAACTTGCGAAAGGTTGTTCAACGCTCGACACTATACCGAAGCCCCATCCAGCCCTATGCCACCCGGGGGGTTCAAAGGGGCTGAGATAGCTGACGTTTTGTGAGCGGAGGCGGGGTGCAGAAAACAACTCGCGGCACACGAAAACGGAGCTATTTTGGGCTATTTTGGGGCTATTTTGCTCAGTTCGGTGAGTGGTCGCTTTGTAGCGTTACAACTTGTTCGAACTTACATTTTTACAAGCAAAATGACTCAAAACTAAGGCAAAACAGGCTGCCAAGTAACTGTACATGTAGATGAGAGCGACGAACGGTTCGTTGAACGGAGTTGTTGCGGGTGCGCGACGACCGTTCGTGACAAGATGGTAAATAGACAGTACCAATTTGTATGGGTGATAATGTTAGTCTTAGGTGTCTTGCAAGCCAATCACGTGAGTGATAGCATGTGTGACATGACACACCCTTTTTTTTTGCTTATTATATTATTTAATATTTTATCATTTTATATTGTTTATTACATGAATATATATTGTGATGTCCATGGATCTGTACAATGAAAATCGGATCGTGATAAGATCACGATAATGAGATCGGTTCGTCTTTAAACACGAACCCTAAATAATCCCAAACATAGGTTAATCGAGAGGGACATCGAGATAACCAAACAGACTAGTGTACTATATACTCATTCATATGATGGAGGTAGCTGGTCGTGTGGGGACACTAGGAATACAATGCAGGTGCTTATTGGAAATGAGTTCACTGATTGATCTGCTCATGGAATGCTGAATGATTGATGATGCATTATTATTAGATAACGATTCAAATTGTGATGAGATCAATGAGAATCGGATCGTGATGAGATCATGATAATGAGACTAATTCGCCTTTAAATACACCCTAAATAATTTCAGTCATAGGTTACTCGAGAGGGAAATCAAGATAACTGGATATACTAGTGTACTATATAGCCGTCCATATAATGGAGACAGTTAGTCTTATAGCTGTTCATGTGGGGGCACTAGGGATACAGTGTAGGTGCTCATTGGACAATGAGTTCACTGATTAATCTACTCACGGAATGCTGGATGGTTGATGATGCCTTATTGTCAAACAATGATTTCGTAATCCCAGTGGTATATTTGTTCCTTAGACTTGAGATACCAAGGATGTCCTGAATGAGTACTTCACTTTTTGATATCGGACTTATAGGTGTGGAAGTTTCAGATCTAGCATATTCGATCATCGGTAGTGGTAGCCAACCTTACGAGGGCTATTGAGTGTCAATAGAGGATCATCCGTTCTCGGTGTCATGAGAGAAATATCTCGTGTTTTTGCTCAGACAAATCCTTAGCTAGGGTCATTCGGATTGAAAGAGAAAGAGTTCTCCGGGAGAATCTGATTAGAGCGAGACTTGAGTAGAAACCGTATGGGCCTAATAGCACCATGCCCAGTATACGATCTTTGGGATATTAGATAAATTAGAGACTATAGATACACGGTAACTGAGTATTGACAGGTTCAATGGATTGAATCCTTTTGTATTGGGATCGCGACGTAGTGACTTAGTACTCCGTAGTCGATAAGTCGAGTGAATTATTATGAAGATGATAATTTATTGAGTCAGAAGGAGTTCTGACAGGTATGACTCATGACCAGTTTGATATTGGACCTAGGGGGTCATACACATGGTATGTGTTGCGACGAGCAGAGATTCGAATATGAGATATTCGTTGGAGCTCCTATCTTATTGGATATCCAATAAGCCCCTGAATTATTGGATCCTATGGATGAGATCCAATAAGAGTCAATGAGAAATTAATGGGTAAAGATCCACTAATCTATGAAGCATGGGTAGTTGGATGAGGATCCAATACTCAATATGACAGGATCCATTATGGTAAATTGATAGGGGGCCTCTATAAATAGGAGGGAACCAAATGGTCATGGGCTAGGTTCTTTTTGGTTGTCACCTCCTATTCTCCTCTTTTTCTCTACTCATACTATGGCTCCTATTTGGGGCGTGTGGACAGTAAGAAGGGGCAGCCCCTTCTTGCTTGTGTGGTGCACTCGTGGAAGAGTTTTGTGTAGCGATTTGAGGAGCGCCTTTGTGGCCCTTGTCGTGTGGATTATCGCTAGAGAGGACAGTTGACCTCCTTCATTCTCTCTCACAGATTTGTAGGTTTCCAAGGATATACGATCTCCCTAGGTAACACATCTTTCTTATACGTGTAGTTTTTCGATTTTGCAGGTTTTTGTGCACCAATCTTTGCACGACGATGAAAACTTATTTTTCTGTAGGAATTCTAGGATTTTGTTTTCTGTTCTTCCGCTACACATGTGATGTCGTCCCAGATTTCCCAACATATAAACCTATCACCTAATACAAGATTTTTGTTTCTCCTAATTTTTGACAGTTGCGACACATTAATATGCTAAGCTAGAGATTGCACCGGCTAGGAAAAAGGAAATTGAGGAAGTGGTTCAAAGATGCTAAAAAAAGGGAGAGACGGAGAGACAAACCAAATAGGCTTGACTAGGACTAGCAAGATAGTAGGAGAGACCCTTGGGTCTTAACTACATGAGAGAACCATATCAGAGCTAATTTTTTTAACAATGATTCTTATAAACTGCCTAGTAGCTGCTACTCAAGGCTTAGTTGTTAAGGTTATTATTCTATGCAATTGTTATGGTCTTACGTTGAGACCTGAGAACATCTATGGCACTTGCGATATGATGCATGATAAGGATGCAATTAATCTGCTTTGCTATTGTGGTACAATTGTTGCTAGAATATTTTCTTAGTTTTCTTTTAAATTCAAGCGTCATTGTTTGATCATATTGATTAATTTCTTGTTGATTTTTCAGCCTCTTCCAGAAACTGTTTCTTTAGTGGAGGACATTGTTGTAGAGTACATCACTGACATGGTAAACATGGTTCATCTTCTTTTATTGTTTCCAATGATTAGGTTGTACTATAAATATTGATGTTTAATATACTCCAATTGCAATTATTTTGAGGTGTAATTGTGTTGGAGCTATTATTTCTTGTGATATCTTGCAAGAGATCACTCTTTCCTTGTGATTGCTAAAGGTTAAATTCAGACCAAATGAAGAAAGGTGTTTGGAGTTTAAAAGGTCGAGTTTGAGTTTTCTTATCATGCATTATTGATTGCTTTGGTGCATATTTGCAAAATGAGAAATCATAATTGGATACAGTTTGAGTTTGAGTTTTCTTATCATGCATTATTGATTGCTTTGGTGCATATTTGCAAAATGTTAAATATCATAATTGGATACGGTTTGGGAATGTTGAAGGACATACACCTAGAAGAACCAGAGTAACTAATCGGTGCATGCTTAATCTCTAACAGTCAGAAAAATTTGGAATGGTTATTATTCTGCCATAGAAAAATCCTCTTTGACTACTTCCAGTTTAGATTAGTAATTGAGCTCAAGTTTGTTCAACTTAGAAGGCTTACAAGTGACTGCTGTTGGCTGTAACTTAGTCAATGATTTGACACATGGATTAAATTGTGCCAAGAATAATAAGAGAGTCGAGCATAATCCCATTTCTCTTATTACTTCTCTTCTCCTACCTTATTAATTTAGAGGTTTTAAAAAGGGTTGTGATGGTGCAATGAGGTCTGGAATTGATTCAGTTACATGAAGGAGAATATATTGGTGTAGGTTCAAATTCCAAAAGAAAATAAAACCAGAGAATAAGTAGAAGGGAAGAAAATTAGGTGGGAATTGATTAGAAAGATTTAGATGCTGGGCAGCCATAAAAACTTTTTGAAAATTTAAAAGTTTTGTTTTATTCCTTTTTCAGTTTCTCAGGCAATCATTTTTTCAGAGTGTAGTATAACGGGAAATATGACTCGACTAGACTTTCCTAATATAAAAAGTCCAAATCCTGTAATCATCTATAGAAGCTAACAATTTTCTTTCTGCATACTTCAACCAAATGGCAAAAGGATTCCTTAACTGATGTTGTTACAAAAGACATACCTGTAAAACAATGTTAAATTTTTGAATGAATAGCAAAGGAAGACCAGGCATGATGTGTATTCTAGTGCCAGAGGGGTCATGAGGAAAAAAGGATAAAACAGATCAGAAATTACAGGTTATCTGTAATTTATTTTTGTATGTCTGTCACTGGATGAGTCCTTGTTCAAGAAATGGTACCTTATGGACTACATATAAAAGAAAATGAGGGTGGCTGGTGTCTCTATCGGGCAAATTGGTGGGGACTGAAGGAACAAGTTATAATACCTAATCACTTGAGGAACCAGTTTGAGTTAATAGAGTTCATCTTTCTGATTCTAATAAAGGGAAATAGAGGTGTTAAGAGGAGAACCAGATGGGGCAGAGGAACAAGAGCAAAGAGGACAATCATAGGGATAAAGCTTTGTTTTAGAAGGCCAAATTCATGTTCATGATCTTTGTTTGTCAGCATAGTTGGCTCTCTGTTCAAAGAGATGCACCTAGTCACCTTTGGACAGATTACGATTGTATGTGTGGGAAACTATTGGGACAAATGTCTAAGATTTTTAGTGCGGAATTTCTAGTACCTCGACATTGTACCTTAAACTACCCTAGGAACTTTTGTTACTTGAATTGTGATGATTCAAGACTTTTGCAACCTTCTGTCTATTGAATAAAATCCCATATTCATAATTCTGCTATATATCTAACACCAAAGTATATTTGTAGTATAAAAAATTAGCTTGAAAAATAGATAATTGGCTCAAGTAACCCAGTGAATATTACTGATACAATGCATATATTAGACAATTCCAATTAGACCTAACTAATTTCTAGAGCACCTTATTCTTGATTTGGCCAAAATAAAATAAGTATTATATCAAAAGTGTAGTATCAAAAATTATCTTGACTAATAGAAAACTAAATGACTCAGTTTGATAAGGCTACTCACATTTGTTCTAACTAATTACTAGAGAATCATCTTCTTGATGTAGCCAAAATAAAATGCACAAGCTTTAACTTCAAACTTGCATCATACATGTGATTTAAGATGTTCTTTATTACACCCAAAAAGTGCTATGAGGTTAAAAATTTACTACCATGAACATTCTAGAGGAAAACCGCACATAGAATGGATTTTGTTAGGATCAAATTTAAACCTTTAAACTATATCTTCATAAGTATGAGAATGAACTTGTCTGGATGTTTTAAGAAACTTGCTAGAATAGACAAATAATGTTTTGAGAAGAACATTTAGATCCTCTCAATCTTTGACATCTGTGCTCATTCTATATATCAGTAGTCTTTGACATGAATATCTGGACCTTTTCTGTTGCATGCTAAACTGACTAATTTGGTTATAGCAGCTTAACTAAATATTTGTTGTTAACATTTTCTACTTTGTAACCGAACAAGCAGGTTCATAAAGCGCAAAACATTGCATCAAAGAGAGGGAGGCTTTTGACTGAGGACTTTTTATATCTAGTCCGCAAGGTACATTTGTACCATTTTATAGATGATATCCCTATACTTCTCTTTTCCTATTTGGTTTTTTATTTTTCTTGGGTGACTTTAAACTATGATTTTTATGAAGTGATCATTATTAATTTAAGATATGCGTTCAAGATTTACCCATTGCTGATAATCTGATCAAATGTGCATTCAAGAACTTAATATTTTTTTATTTAACTAACTATATACAAGTTGTTTTGACATATGAACTAGTTGTATACTTCACTTTTTTAATATATTTTTCTATTCTCATTATTCTGCGGGCAGTTATTCTGCTTGCAGTTCTCACTTCATTACAGTGATACTGGATAGCAGTATAGGATGATATGTGTCATTATGCTTTCTACATTGCTGCATGTAGCTTTGATTTTATATTAGCATAATTTTGTCATGTGAAAGCCTCACCAAGTCCCCAAGGAAGAAATGAATGTGGTTTAGTAGTCCCAACTCATTGGCCGACTAAAGAACTGAACACAGGTACTAAAAAGTTATTCTTAGAGCGAACTTTGTCAATTGAATTGCCCAGTCAATGTAGAAATTTACACGGAAAATTCAATGAGTTATTAATTATAATTGATTTTCTATAGTTGTCTTTGAGCCATCTTTCATTTTGCAGTCATCTAGTTTTACCTTTCCACCTGTCAAATTCTACATGTCACTTTAGCATCTGTTGAATATTAGGCCATGTATATATGGTAGAGTGGTTGACATTTAAAGTCTTGGTCATTTGTGCATGAATAGGATCCACCGAAGCTCCATCGGTGCACCGAGTTACTGTCTATGCATGAAGAGCTTAAGCTAGCAAGAAAAGCTTTCGATGTAAATGAAGAGACTCTAGCTACCGCTGATTGAACAACTGGTCTTCTTGGCTACCGAGTCGTCTTTGGATGGAGCTCCTGGATCTTTGTAATGTGGCATGTGGTGTCTAGCTTGTGCTGGAACACGACCAGAATGATCCGTTAGCCTTTTCAATCTCTTTGCAAAATCAAGAATTAAGTATTCTCTTCCCTTTTGTTTCCCTCGTTTATATGTGATTTTATTTGCTCTACTTGATAAAATATTATCTAATAATAATTAAATGTGGGGAATACGTTTACAGTCGCAGTGCGGGATTCTGTCTCTGTCGTGGTCTTCCCAGAAAGATCTGTAGGCGACCGAGTCGACTTCTAGAAATCCACCCAAATGAAAAGGTCAACTTATAACAAAGAATTTACATCTGCCAGTTTCACTTGAATCGCTTATTTTGTTGCTTTTTAACTATGGTCTACAATGTTTAAGATGCTTAAGCATATGCAGGAATTAGTGATAATAATTTTTATAAATTAATTTATTTTTAAATTTTTTAATAAAGATTAAATTTAGAGATATTATAATCTCCTCTACTTCAGTTTGCCCTCGGCAAGAGTTAATACATTTCAAAATTAAACCATGACATTGTAAAAGTGATACCCGAGTTTTTCATCATTTTCATTATTTGAGAATATTTTTGGTCGACCTAATTGATGTTTACTTACATTTTTAAGCTTAAACCATTAATATACTATGTGAACCATTAATGATAACTTATAACCTAATGAAACACGAAGAAAAACGAACTAATTTTGCAAAATTTAGGCCAGGATCGATTGCTTTTGCAAGTAAAAAAAAAATATAATTTATCCAAAAAAAAGGTATTGCTATCCATTTTTTACTGCATGAGGTCTCTTATTCATTTTTTATTTAGCACTCATATTTTTCACTTTGGACTAAAAATTCTCGTAGTCTTTGGTTTGAATGACATCGGAACCTGGTGAGAATGCGTAAATCAGTTCTTTCCTCCATCTTCTCCTAGGATTTTCCTCCTCCTAAGTCTTTCAAAAATAAAAATATATATATGAATGAATATCAAAATCATACATGGGTGCGGATGTATGTATAAATTTAAAATATTTTAGATAAATTTGATCAAAATATACTAGATTTTAAGCTAAAATACACTCGATTGCTCAAATTTTAAAAAATCTTAATTTTGTGAATGAGTATATTTTGTTTATTTTTGGATGTAACAATGTTAACTTTAACCAAACCATCTCCCACTCTATTGTAGCATCATTATAACCATAATTGATAATACTTTTTCTATTTTTAAGAGAATTCAAGAATAATTAATCATTAAAATTTGTATTTTTTTGTTAGTTTATATAGATGAGTTCGTTTTAGTTTACTTTTTCGTATAAGAGAGTCAACTTCACATAAACTATCTCAAACTTTCATCAACCTGCTAGGATATTATTTTAGCATCATTATTGATATTTTTAATTTAATATGATTTTAGGATAATTAATAATCAAAATTTATATTTTTTATATAATTTTTATGAATGGGTATATTTTAATTCATTTTCAAGTGAAGTGCTCAACTTCAACCAAACTATCTTAAATTTTTACTAATATATTAGGATATCATTCTAACATCATTAAAAATATATTTTTTATTTTCAGATAATTTTAGTATAATTAATCATTAAAATTTAAAATTTTTTGGATATGTTTCGTAGTTCATTTAGGAGTGTGATATGGTCAACTTGATCTAGACTATCTCAAAATTTGACCAATATATTAGGACACCATTGTAACATTATTAGTAATATCTTTTCTATTTTTAGAGGACTTTAGGATAAATAAATATTAAAACTTAAATTTTTTGATAAGTTCTGTGAATGAATATAGTTTAATTTATTTTTGAGCGTAACAGGGTTAATATCAATCAAACCCTTTTAAAGTTTCACTACTCTACTTAAACATGATTCTAACATCATTAGTAATAACTTTTCTATTTTTATAAAATTTTATGATAATTATTATTTTAATTTTAAATTTTTATATAAGTTCTATGAATTAATGCATTTTACTTTATTTTTTACTGTAACAGAACCAACTTTAACCAAACCAAACCATCTCAAAATTTTACCAATCTAATATGACATTATTCTAACATCATTAGTCATGCCTTTTATTTTTCGATATTTTAAGATAATCAATTGTCAAATTTTATTTATTTTTAATAGGTTTTGTGAACAAGTATATGTTATTTATTTTCAGGTATAACAAACTTTCAAAATCTATTAGAACATGATTCTAACAAGAATTTCACTATTATTTTTTTTATATTTTAGAATGAATTTAGGATCATTTTATATAAAATTAATAATTTTTGAATAACTTTTATGATTAAATATAAATTAATTTAATTTCGAGTGTAAAGAGACCTTTTTAGATAAATTATGAGGAGGAGGTGCGGGAGATAAGGGATGAGTAGAAGTATGGAAATAATGAGGGGGAGGAGAGTCGGGGGAGGTATGTTCGGGATGGAGGAGCAAGGAAAAAACAGAATACTACGATACGAGTAAAAAGAATCCTTTTGACTTAAAAAAACTGATGTAGTATTAAAAACAGGAGAATTGATAAGAACACTTACAAGATACCAAATGCACACAGACTCTCTATCTTTCTCTGCTATGTTTTTCTCTCTGCTTGCTTCATGAACTACGGTCCTATTTATAGGACCTAGTGACAACTACCCTATAACTATTAGATCATGAGGTAGTTATTGAAATCACCTTATAACTACTAGATCATGATTAAAGTGGTTATTGAAATCATCATGTAACCACTAGATCATGATAACAATCTAGATAGATAACTATGAATCAAATCTCAACACTCCCCCTTGATTCATAGTTTGCATACACCAATTTACGACATAAAATAAACATGCTTTCGAACTGGAAGTGATTTGGTGAGGAACTCCCCCTTGATTCATAGTTTGCATACACCAATTTACGACATAAAATAAACATGCTTTCGAACTGGAAGTGATTTGGTGAGGATATCCGCAACTTGTTCATTCGTTCCATAATACTTCATTGTTATGGCTCCACTTGCCTGGAGTACTCTTTCGATCATCTAAAGCTCCTGCACAATCACTATCAGTGAAACCAAATAATCTGCATTTAAATTTTGTTTTGAACATCCATTTTAACCCAATCGCTTTTTTTTCTTTCGATAGATCCATTAGCTCCCAAGTTTCATTCTTCACAATTGACTTGATTTCCTCCGTCATTGCTTTTCTCCATTCCTCTTTTTTAACTGCTTCCTCAAAAGTTGTTAGATCTAAAATAAACAAAGCAAATGTTGAGTTATAAATTTCTGTCAATGATCTGAAATTTATTGGAGGAGTTTCATCTGAGGAATCCGAATTTGAATTGCTATTGGGTGAGGTTGACGATAAATTTATTGGAGTAGGATCTGTCACTTGATTCTGCGGAGTGTCTAGTTCTGTTGGAATCTGCATTTGTGTTTCACCTTTATTGGTCTCCCAATTCCAACTTGCCCTTTCATCAAACATAACATTTCTGTTAATAATAACTTTGTCACTAACAGGATTATATAATCGATATGCTTTGGATTGTAAAGAATAACCAATTAAAATATATTTCTCTGATTTTTCATCAAGCTTGTGTTGATTTCGTGAATTCACCAAAGCATAAGCAATACAACAAAAAATTCTTAGATGTCTAACACTTGGTTTCATACCATACCAAGCCTCAAAAGGAGTTCGATTCATAACAGTCATTGTTGGTGAAATATTCAACAAATAAACTGCTATTGCAACTACTTCTGCCCAAAACTGATTTGAAGATGTTTTCCTTTAAGCAAACTTCTTGCCATTTCAACGACAGTCCAATTCTTATGTTCAGCTACACCATTTTGCTCCGGTGTATATGGTGCTATCAATTCTCTGTGAATACCATTTTCTTCACAAAAAGAACTAAACTCATTAGATAAAAATTCACCACCTCTATCTATCTGAAGTGTCTTTATATATCTACCACTTTGTCTTTCTACAAGTGCCTTAAACTTTCGAAAATTATCAAATGTTTCAGATTTCAATTTTAAAAAATATACCCAACTCATGCGACTATAATCATCCGTAAACAATAAAAAATATTGACTTCCACCAAATGATTTTGTATTCATAGGTCCACATAAGTCAGCATGAATTAATTCAAGACAATTAGATGCTCTCCATGCTTTTGCAATAGGAAATGATTTTTTACTTTGTTTCCCATAAATACATCCTTCGCATACATCAAGTGTATTAATTTTGGGCAATCCGAAAACCATTCCTTTTTGACTTAACAACCTTAAACCTTTAATGTTAAGGTGTCCATATCTTAAATGTCATAAACTCGACTCATTCTTTTGAGTTGTGATAAGCGCATGCCTTTCAATATTTGACACATCAAGTGGAAACATCTTGTTTTGTGTCATGCAAACATTTACTATAATCAAACTAGATTTTTTATCTCTAATAGTGTATGAACCATCATCAAATATTACTGAATATCGATCATCTACTAATTGTCCAATACTCAACAAGTTATGTGATAAAGTAGGAATAAAAAAAATATTATCAAGATATTTTACCTTCCCTTGATTTGTCTTCACCTCAATTGTTCCTTTCCCTTCCACTTGGATTTGCTTGCTATATCCAAGTCTAACTTTCAACTTGTGAGTTTCATCAATATCTCTAAATATTGATTTTATGCCTGACATATGATTAGAACATCCACTATCCAGAAACCAAATATCATTTGAGATATTATGAACATGTGAATGAGTCATAAATAACTTACTATTTTCTTCATTTTTCTCCATATAGCTTGCTTGCTTTTCTCTTTTCCAGCAATCTGCCTTCCTGTGACCAAACTTTTTACAATAGTGACATTGAATTCCACTTTTGTAATTTTTTTTTATCATAATTTGATTGCCCTTGTTTATCAAAACGTCCTCTTCCTCTTCCATTTCCTCTACCACGAAATCCTCCTCTACCACGCTCTCTTCCTGCTGATTTTTTGTCTTATTTTGAAGTAGAAGACTCTCCCTTAACCTAAAATGCTTTTTCTTCACTTTTTTCAAGTGACTTGTTCAACCTTACTTCATGTGTTTGCAAGGAACCCATTAGTTCATCAAATGAATAAGTAGATAAATCTTTTGATTCCTTAATTGCGGTAACAACATGATCAAATTTCG